ACTTTTGTTCTTTGTTGTTGCTAGATTAAAAGGGAGAAGTGGACAATGAGGTTGTAAGCCGCTGTGGGTTCCAACGTGGGATAGAAAGAGGGATCTAAATACATAAAAGCGAGTGAATTTTACGTGTGAAAAGTCACAGGTAGAACTAGGAAATCCTATGCCTCTCTCCCCATTTTTAAATGGAATTTGCCACTGGCTATGTAGCCTGCTCCTTAATCTCAAAAGTGTTGAATATTTGCCCTTGCAGCTTTCCTCTTGGCCTGGTGAAGTGTCAGGAGAGATGTTTGTTGTTGTTGTTGTTCAGTCGCACAGTCGAATCCAACTCTTCGCGACCCCATGGACCAGCTCCCGCCAGGCCCTCCTGTCTTCCGCCGTCCTCTGAACTTGGCTCAATTTCATGTTTGTTGCCTCGATAACACTGTCCAACCATCTCATCCTTTGCCGTCCCTGTCTTCTTTGACCTTCAGTCTTTCCCAGCATCAGGGTCTTCTCCAGTGAGTGCTCCCTTCTCATTGGGTGACCAAAGTATTTGAGCTTCAGCTTCTGTAGTATCTGGCCTTCCAGGGAACAGTCAGGGGCCCTGGTCACACAGGCAGGAAAATGCAGGGGGGAAGCGTGGCTATTTGCCCCGGAGTAAAATAACGCGCGGTTGCTCGATCAGACATCCTGTAGAGGTCCCGTCGAGTTCCCGTGGTTAGGGAGGAGATGCCGATCACAGGACAATCCTGCAGCGCGGCAAAGAAGCGGCCTCTCTAGCAAAAGGCTCCACGGGTTTAACCCCTTCCAGGGCTGCAGAGGAATGCAAACTGTGTCCTCTGTCAGGTCGCATCCAGGAGGAGCTTCAGCCGGGCTGCCCTCCCGCCACCCCCCCTACACCCACCTCCCCCTCTGCCTCCCGGTGCAGAGAGTTCCTCTCAAGCAGGCCGAGCCAGGAGGGGGAGGTACGGAAAAGAGGAGGGGGCTGTGTTGTTTGTTTTTAAACGGCATGTGCGCATGCGCCGTTGGGTGCTTGTGCGCATCCCGTGGAGACTTGGAAGAAAACCCTTTTAGCGACGGACCCCCCCCAATTTGTTAAGGTAAAAGATTTTCATGACTGTTGCTACTTCTGGGATTCAGCAATCCCCACCCCCCACTGCCATGGGTGGGGGGAGTAGGCTGCAGCTGGAGGTATGGAATGTTCCCCCTTTGCCCTTGGGGGAGAGACACAAAAAGCAAAACAGTTCTTTACACGCACAATTCTTACATAAAAGGTTTGGAGGTTTTTTTGTTGTAAGACTGAGTAGCGCTATTGGAATTCTCTGGGCTGGGGGGGATTGTTTCCAAGGGGGGATTATGGAACAGCTCCTGCAGGGAGGAAAATTCTTGTGCAATTCCACTTAAGCCTTGCCTTTCAAGATAGTAACTACAAGTTGAAACATATTTTCTTGTGGGCACAGGGCATTTCTACCTCCCCCCTTCCCCCAAGGAGTTCAGAACAGTGTCTGTCTTGATTTTCATATAAAGCCAAATCAGCTGCCACCTTGACATTCTGTGCCTGGAACTGCAGAAGTACCTTTTGGCTCCAAAAAGTAGCCTGCAGAGGGGTATGGATTGGTTAAGGAAGGGGGGGGTAACTTTTCTCTGTGCCTAACCTGCTTCAAAGGGCTGTTGTGAGGGTAAAATCAAGAAGGGGAGGAAGTTGTAAGCCCCTTTGGTTCCCCACTGGCGAAAAAGGGGGGTATTAACAAAGTTAAAAAAAAATCTGTAATTGCAGCTGCCCTTCAGCATCTTTGTGAACTAATACACATATTACAGGGCTTTTTTTCTGGGGGAATGTGCTGGAACGAAGTTCCGGAACCTCTTTGTGGAAAGAAAATTCTCAAAAAATGTTCAAAAGTTAATGAGGGGCATCGGGGGAGCATGACATCGCTTGCAACATCACAAAAATATTAAAAATTTAAAAATAAGATTTAAATGAGGATTTCCAAAAAATCCCCCGTGTTTCTCCTTCATTTCCCTCTTGAGAGTTCCAGCACCTCTTTTTCCAAAAAAGAAAGAAAAAAGCCCTGCACATACAGAAGTGTAGTCGGACATTCAGAGACTGGCCAGTAGCTGCATGAGACCTCGGCATTGCGAGTATAGGCTTATTTTTTGTCTGTGTGACTGTCTGATGGTATGATATTCCTCTATAATCTGACCTGTTTCAGAGGGGGCTACAATAGAGCTAGATAGAGAGGCTACAGGACATCGACTAGCCTTTCCTTTACTCTATGATACTATCCCTTTGATGTGTAGATTGCTACTCTCAGGGAAAATTTCCTTCTGGCCTTGACATTCTCTCTCCACACTGTGCTTCCTTTCTCCATCTTGGCATCATGAGAGTGGGACATGCTTCCGTATCTCTATCCATGTTAGTTAGTTAGACTAGATTAGGAGCCTATCTCTACTCTATCCTGTCTAGAAATGGAGTTCTTAAAATAAAGAACTCTTATTAGTTTTGCAAAGATAAAGAGGCTCCATGTGTAACTTTGTTTCTGGACAGCACACACACTCCAGATGACTCTGCTGCGCTTTAAGCCTTGAGTACTGTGCTAAATACCCAGCATGAATAGTCCGACATGCACTGTCTCTCTTGGGGTGTTTGGAACTCTCCGAACCAGTCCACATTGGCTGACTTTCACCCATGGTTGGTATAACGGAGACTTTGTTGTTCCAAGGGTGGGCGAAACTGCATCTCTTGAGTTTCTGCATGTTCCATCACAATAAAAGGGCTCCGACCCTTGTCAGAAATAAAAGGCAGAATCCCTGGCAGTGAATGAAGACAATGAAGGGCTTTGCTGCTTTCTTTCAACAAGATACAACCATTTCTTCTAAATAAGGCCTGAGGTGTGTTTGTGAATAAATGACTCCCACTTTGATAGAAACAGGGGACTCCAAACAATCTCTTAGCCATCATTGGCAGGAGCCCCTCCCTCCAGTCCTGCTTATGGGCTGTTCCAAGATTTTTGTTTTTGCTAACATAGGTAGTTTATTGTATAATTGTGTGCTGACCATTAAAAAAACATGTGCAGTAACATCTTATGACTAACTGGATTAGTTTTATTGAAAGGGTGTGAGCTTTCATGGACATTTGTCAACTTCATCAGACACTCACTGTGGTTTGCAAAAGTTGCTTAGAGCTGTGTTGGTCCAAAAGCAAAATCCCCAAACAAGAGCACAGTCTAGGTAATGCCTTTTATTAGGGCAAGCAAAACAGCACAAAATATTGTGCAAACTTTCAAGCTTTCAGTCTGTACACCTGCTCAGCATTTGACCTTGGGATGCTGCTATGAACAAGTCTTTAAATTGTGGCCTGAAACCATTGCTTGCACCTTTTTTGAATTTGGTAACATCTGGCCTGATGCAGAGTTCTGCCGAGCTCTGAAGTTTGCACAGGGCTTTATTTGGTTGGCAATTTTTTGAGCCCTAAACATTTCAATTTTTTTCTGATGTGAGAAAAAAATTAAAACATTTTTGTTAACCTTAGAAGTTCATTTTTCTTCTGATTTTAAAAGAACTTAAAATATTTTTGGGCCCCCTAAAAGTATCGTGGGCCCTAGGCACTGTGCCGGATGGATGTCAGCCCTGTTGGTATGTCTAGTTCAACATTGTCTTCACTGATTGGCCGTAGCTCTCCAGGGTCACTGACTGGGGGTATGAATCTACTGCCTTGCAAGAGAGCCAATCTGGAGTCTTACGATATGCTTGGAATATTTAATTTATATACAAATAGAGCAGAAGTGGAGACTCTATCTTCCCATCCAAAGAAAACCCGACCAGGTAGTTTTGCCTCTGGAACTCCTTGCCACTCAAGGAGATGGGAAACATGCAAATCATTTGTGGAAGTCTGAGCTATCAATAGCTACAAACTGTGAGTGAAAATGGAACCTCTGTGTCTTTCAGTCTCTTTCAGTCCCAAATGCTAAGAATAAAGAACAGGCGGATGATTATCATCTTCATCCCCAGCCTGTGAACCCCTAGAGCAGTGGTGACGAACCTATGGCACGGGTGCCAGAGGTGGCACTCAGAGCCCTCTCTGTGGGCACACGTGCCACCGCCCCAGCCAGGCCCAGACCATCATTAAAGTGTCGGATTCTCTGCCAAATAATTTTAAGTAAATGAAAGCATTTGGGATTGCTTTCCTTACTTTGTTTGGATCATCTTAAGTTATTGTATGAGTTGTTTTTTCTAAAGTAAAACCTCAGTATTCAGGTTAAATTGCCGTGTTGGCCCTCTGCGATATTGGGTCGCAGTTTGGGCACTAGGTCTCTAAAAGATTCGCCATCACTGCCCTAGAGGAAGCTGCTGGTTGCTCTTGGGAACAGAATCCAGCAAAGCAGACCTAATCTGTTAACATCCCTATTCTGGGGTTCCCTGTGTGGTGAAAGTCGACAGTCAGCACTACAGCAGCTTCCAGTATGTAAGCACAGTGAACGGACCTGCTGCACCCCTTCTAGCCTGATGCCAGATCTTCAAAAAACAAAAGACACAAGTGTCAGCAGCAGGGTGGGGCCACACTGACCTTTGTACAGCTGAGCAAACAGAGGTCTGGAGGAAAATACCTGCGTGTAGATCTTAGAGTGACCAAAGCCCTTTTGGGCCTCTCCTCCAGTTTCTGCCTTCCCTGGCCCTTGCCGTCCTCCACCCCAGGGGTCTTGGCTGCCCTTTGCCGTCCTCCACCCCGGGGGTCTTGGCTGGCCTCAGAGCTGGCCAGGGATTGGGAGCCATGCTTCGCTTGCTGGACTGCAAGCATGCCAAAGCTCCAGGGAGCAATGATTGGGAAGGGGAGGGGGTATTTTTCTCTCTTTTTCTGCCTCTTTCTTTCTTGCATCATCCAACTCGGTGGGGTGGGGTGGCGAGCGGGGGAGGGGGGGGGCTGCTTGTAAACAGCCAGCACGGTCCCTCCCTGGGTTGTTGCTAGTCTGGCCAATAAATAGCTGCCTGGCCTGGGTTTCTGGCTCATATTAATTCTGTCTGTGGACAAGCTGAGCGCTGCAGAACCGACTGCGGACAGGACAGAGCATCAAGCATGCAGCAGCCACGGCTCGTTGGCTTTCTGGCCCTGATTCTCGGCTGCTTGCTCCAGACACAGGCTGAAGTGCCGGTTCAGCCTGACTTCCAGCAAGATCAGGTAACCCAACCCTGTGTTCTGTCATGCTTTCTCATCCCTGAGTCCGGGGGCCCTCGCAAACAGCCAAGTGTGCAAAATGGCCCTCTTTCAGCCAGCAGCCTCTGAATATGGACCTTGAGACCCTGGCAGACCCAGCAGAATAGAAAGCAGAACTCTATGCAAGACTTCAGCTGCTGATTTTGATAAACCTTGTTAAACATTAGCTGATCAAAGGTCTTGCAAAGTGATTCCCCCCCCCCACCAAGAGATCCTTCAGCATTGAATGAGCAATAGTAGATTTATCATTAAGCCTCTCTTTGCTTTGTTTTGGGGCCGAGAACTGTGGAAATAGGTTTTGGGGCAAAGCGTGGGTGAAATTTGCTAGATGGGTGAGCATAGGTCAGTTTGGTTACCATGCTAGTGCCTGAGAAAGGGCTGTGGAGATAAGGTAGGCTTTTTCTCACGCCAAATATCAGTTGCTACTCTGTGTCATATCATCACATGACAATACTGGCAGTGAATCTCCTCCAAGAAAACAAGATTTGGTTGGCACAATGGTTTGGATCTGAAGATCTGTTCTGTTAATGGTGACATTTTCCTCTGATGCAAGGGGTGTTCCACCGATAGGAAGGTTCCTTGCATTGGAGGGAAGTACTGCCATTAGCAACATGGAGCCAGCACCGGATCCAACCCTAATCAACTCTCTTGCTGTGAGCCAAAATTGGTGATGGCATATATCTAGAGTTTTAAAATTCTTCTTTTTTTTCTTTTCAGTCTTTCTTTTCTTTTTCTTAATTTTATTGGGTTTCTTTTTTAAAAAAAGTTCAATAAAATTCATTTAAGAAAACAAAATCCTGAAAAGAATCCTGGCCTTTATACTGAACTGTGCATAATTTGCAATGAAAATATAGACTTGTGCAATAGATGGAGGCGGTCCAGTCCTGTGGTCCTGCTGCGCTGGCAGCTGGCTTGCCTTGGGTATACCGCTATAATGGCACATATTTTCTGTCTGCCACGAAGGCTGGTAATGCTCTGAGTGACAAGAGAATGTACAGAAAACCCCCCCCCCCATGTCTCTTAAATGTCTTTCATGCAGGCTATTTGCCCCAGGTTTGATGCTGTTGGGAAGCAGGTTTCCCCCCCCCTGCTTTCCCACAACATTGTGGTTCCTTTGTGTGCTTCCCAGGTTATCTCATGCCTTGCTGAGATCTATCCTAAACCTGCTTTGCTGCAAAGTTTTGGGCAAGCTTGCCAGAAGGACTGGGTGGCTGCCGTGAGGGTGCAAATGTTTGGTTTTTTCCTGTTTCTGCCCACACGGCAGCCGTTTCCCCTGCCCCAGTCCCCCATGGCAGCCCCTAGGTAGTGGGGGTAGTGGTGGCCCCTGGGAGGATGGCTGGGGCAAGGAAAATGCAGAGAACCCCACCATTTGGAAGGGCTGCTGTGCTGCATCGGCAGCTGCCGCGATGGTCGTGTAGAAAACAAAGCAAGGAAAGTGTTGTGTAAAACAGCCTCTGCTCTAAGGACTGAGAGTGTCTTTAGTGGTGGGGCATTGGCAAGACGTGGCTGCTTTTCGCACATTTATTTTTAAAAATAAAAAGGCAGTCCCTTTCCCGTATGCCTCTCTAAGGCAAGGCACAATGACGAATGAACAAGTCAATACGAAATACAGAAACAGCACCCGCTATTTATTTGCCAGTCCAGCACTAATGCAGTGGGATGGAGGGGATGGGCTAAACGACACAGCGTTTTTTTCATGAGTTGTCTCTGGGTTCACTGCTTTGATTAGAGTCTCAGCTCCAAGAGTATCACTTTGAAAGCTTCTGAAGTTGCTTTTGCTGACAACGGGGAGGGGGGCTCCTGCTCTCCCTCTGCCCCATTGCCTGTGTTTAATCCCCCCCCCCCCGGAAGTTACTAGCAATGCATAACTTTGGAGCTGGGGGAATCTGGACTACTCCATGTGCAGCTAAAAAATGTAAGAAGAAAGCGGTTTACCAAAGTCAAGGAGGATCATTTTAGTCTTTAGCTTGAAAAAAGTCTGGTGGATCATGCTCCCAATTGAGATCAGGGCCCTGTAGGATTTATTACAGTTCCACATGGTCTGTAAAACAGAGCTGTTTCACCAGGCTTTTGGCTAACTGGCAGGTGTCCATTCATTTAGGCCCCTCCTGCCCAAACTGCCCTCAGATCGCCTTATGGCAGGGGTTTCAAACAAGCGGCCCAGGGGCCGGATTAGGCCCCCGGAGGGCTTCTATCAGGTCCGCAGAGGAACTGGCTGTCTTCTGCTTCTTATTCCAGCTCTGCTGCTGCTGCTGCATCATCGTAGGTTTGCAGTTTACAGATACACACCTGAACGGCATACTCAAGATTGCAACAGCACAGACATTTTGATGCAATAATTCAGAGCAAGAGGTGTCAATTATCAGACACTGTTAAATAAACAAAATATTGCAAGAGTGCTAATGTTTTAAGCATTTAAGTAAAAAAAAAACCCCTTTGTGTTTGTGTCCTTTATAAAGGTTATATCTCCCCAACTGGCATTACATTTTATGATACACATGGCCCGGCCCAACAAGGTCTCATTTATGTCAGATCCGGCCCTCATAACAAATGAGTTCAACACCCCTGCCTTATGGTGTAGTTGGCAGTTGTCATATTTCTGCCCACCTGATCTTCAGCACAAGCTGTACAATTTTCTATTGCTGGCCTACCATCCATCTTTTATTCAGGATTCTTATTGTTATGGTTTTAAAAAGTTGTTTTATTGTTTATATCTCTGTTGTGACCTGCCCTGAGCCTGCTTGCAGGGGAGGGCGGGATACAAGTTAAATAAAATAAAATAAAGAAACAAAAGAACATTCTTGTGTGACTCAAAAGCTTTCACACTGTCGTTTAAACACGAGGAAAATCAGATGAGAAAGGCCCAGGGTGCGGGGGTGGGGAGCAGTGTTCCCTCTAAGCTGAGTTAGTGTGAGCTAGCTCACAGTTTTTTAGCCTCCAGCTCACACATTTTTGTCTTAGCTCAGGAAGGATGGGGGGCTCCAGAGCAAACTAATTTATGCAGTAGCCAAATTGCTCGCTCACAACTTTAATGCCAGCAGCTCACAAAGTAGTATTTTTGCTCACAAGACTCCACGGCTTTGAGGGAGCATTGGTGGGGAGATGTCTGAGAAGCTTTTCTTCCTCCTCTAATGGGCGGATTGGTGACCACAGTTCCTAGGGAGATGGTACAGCATCGGCTTGGCCTCCAATTCCAGATGGTTCAAGGAGAAGAAGTCAGTGATGAAGATGTGCACCACGGTGGTCACACCCACAGAAGATGGAAACCTGAATGTCACTTCCACCTACCCCAAGTAAGCTGGAGATGGGGCAGGTGATGGGAAAGCATGCTTGGGAAGCAAAAGCCCCTTCGTTGGGGTTGCCAGCTCCAGGTTGGGAAATACCTGGAGATTTGGGGGGTGGAGACTGAGGAAGGGTAGGGGTTAGGGAGGAGAGGGACTTCAGTGGGGTATGCTGCTATAGAGTCCACCTTCCAAAGCAGTCACTTTCTCCAGGTGAACTGATCTCTGTCACCTGGAGGTACATCGTAATAGCAGGAGATCGCCAGCTGCCACCTGGAGGTGGGCAACTCTGCATGACCTGGACAATTGCTGCCCTCCTTTCATCCTCATTTTTTGCCTGTGGGAAATGCCATACTATTGAGTGGCAAGTGGGTTTGCTACCTCTGGCTTGGGAAACACCTGGAGATTTTGGGAATGGAGTCTGGGGAGGGAGGGATTTGGGGAGGGGCAGGACTTCAGTGGGTTAGGAAGCCATAGAGCCCACCCTCCAAAGCAGCTATTTTCTCCAGGTGAATTCCAGGAGATGTCCAGGCCCCCCCTCTCCCGAAGGCTGACAACCCTAGTTGCAAGCATTTACCTCCTTCAGGGTTCAGCTCATTCTGCAAGGTCTTTAATAGTTGGATTTCTGAGAGGGGAATATTGGCCTTTTTGTCACCAGCGCATGAAAGCACATGAATGGACACTAATATGTCACATGCAGGGCACAGTCTGCTCTTTCATACACTGCTGCCCTGGAGGGAGATTTGGAAGTTTGATAGCAGAGAACTGGGTGTTTCTAATATAGCTTTAATCAAAAGAACAAACACTGTCTTGGCCAGGGGTCAGCAACCTTTTATAGTTAAAGAGTCAAGCTACGTCAAAACCGAGAGTAAAAGATCAGCAGATTATAGCACAGCCCATTACTTAACATTATGGGTAACTGACAAGTTGATTCATTTCCCATAACATTTCTTTACCCCAAACACTGGTTTGGTGTAGTGGTTTGGTGTAGTGGTTAAGTGCGCGGACTCTAATCTGGGAGAACCGGGTTTGTTTCCCCACTCCTCCACTTGCACCTGGCTGGATGACCTTGGGCAAGCCGTAGTTCTGATAAGAGCTGTTCTTGAAAAAGAGCAGATTCTGTCAAGAGCTCTCTCAGCCCCACCTACCTCACAGGGTGTCTGTTGTGGGGAAGGGAAAGGAGTTTGTAAGCCGCTCTGAGACACCTTTGGGTAGTGAAAGGCGGGGTATAAATCCAATCTCTTCTTCTTCTTCATGTGAGTACTTTATCTGGAAGCTGCGCACATGAGATCTCGCAATAAGAAGCACTTTCTGCAACTTGTTTAATGCAGCTGTTTACCACTGTTTACCTTATGTGTAAAGAGTTTCAGGTGGGTAGCCATGTTAAGTAGAGCATGAGGATAACAATTTACTTGGCTGCTGGACAAGGAGGTTTTATATAACTTCCATGCAGAGCAACCATTAATAGTTCCTCCATGGATTTGTCCAGTCCTTTCGTCAAAGCAATTTTACCTAGTGATAATCACCATTTCTTGTGGCAGTGAATTCCACAGGTTAATAATGCACTGCATGAAGATGTATTTGAAAAACCTAACAGATATTGTAGATCAGGCGAAAGGTTCTTCTAATTCAGCATACTGTTTCCTGCCTCCTGGAAGCGCAGAAGCACGGTAAGAAGGCAAGAGCCTTCCGTGCCAGTATCACCCAGAAACTGACACTGAGAGAGACACTACTTCCCAGCATGGAGATTTCAGTTAGCAATCATGCCTAATAGCCACTGATGGTCTTCTGTTCCATGAATTTGCCTAGTTCCCTTTGTATCATAAGCTCTCTCTGTATCTGGTGGTGGTGAGTTCCATAAGTTTCTTTCCCTTTTTATTCCATCACCAATTCAAGGCCGCAGAGGTATTTCATAGAATGGAAACCCAGGTGAATGAAGGTGGCTGATTCTGCATTGGCTTTTCCCTCCATTGTTTTACGAAACCCATGTTGGAACAGAAATTCCCCTCTGCATTGCATGCTGATTTCACTCCCTCTGGTTATCAGGTTTTATGGTATCATTCACACTCCATGCCACTTTCGAGTTCTTTGATCATAGGGTTTAATTGTACCTTCTGCATAGATTTATGGCTGTTTTATGGCCATTCAGAGGTGACTCTGTAGTCAGTATAATGTTGCCCCAAGGTATTTGGATGTGCTTTTGAGCTGCATCTTTTACCTCCCAGTTGAGAAAATTTGGAGCGAATGCTAGATGTAGAATCGCCTGGTTTCTCCCAAGTGCCCCCCTCCTCCAGTTTAAATGTTGCTCAGGAACTTTTTCTTGTCCCTTCACATAATGCTTCTTTTTAATCTATGCTTCAGGTTTGACCAGTGTGAGACAAGAAAGAGCCTTTTTGTTCTGACTGACCAGCCAGGCCGATTCAGCTTCACCAGCCCACGTAAGTGAGGTGAACCTGAGCTCCTTTGGGGGCAGCGGTTGGGCTTGCTGAAAACAGCGGCTTCCATTGTTAGGGGCAGAGAGGGCAGGAGCAGCTGGGTAAATGAATTGGTACCTGTTTGCCCTTAATCCTTTTGGCGTCCAAGCAAGTTGTGGAACATTTTGCCCTTGCCAGTCCAAGAAAACAGGTTTCCAGCAGCTGAGTCTGCCAAAAGCAAAGAAGAATCGCCTCTGGCCAGCCCAGGACAGTGGCCTCCATATCCAGTTAAGGAGGGTCATCGAACATCAGGTAGAACATTGGAAAGGCACTGCTGGATCAGAACAAAGGTCCATCTGGGCCAGCGTCCTGTTGCCAGCAGTGGTCAACTAGAGGCCCTCAGACTAGAGACCACAAGAAGAACGCAGAGTCCAAACCTCTCTCTGCTGATGCTTCCAACAACTAGTAGATAAGAAGAGCCCTGCTGGATCAAACCAGTGGTCCATCTAGTCCAGCATCTTGTTTACCACAGCTGTATGTGTGGAGGCAACAAACCGGGCATAGAGGCCAAGACCTTACCTTGATGCCTCTAGGCACTGGTATTCAGATGTTTACTGCCTCTCCCTTTAGTCATCACAGCTGTTAACCAGTGATGGACGTCTCTTCCATGAATCTGTTTAATCCCCTTTTAAAACTATCTGCGCTAGTGACTGTATTGCCAAAAAGGAAAGAGGGTCTTTTCCACCAAGGGATTCGAGGGCAATAAGCACACCAGTGGTGGAGGAAAGGGGTTTTTATTGATGTTTCTGTAATAATGAGATACTTACAAGTCACAAGAATAACAGAGAATATACCCATGTTGGCCAACACCTGGAGTCCCGCCTGCTGTCATTCTCTGGGGTTCCTGTAGCATAGGGGTGTCAAACTCATTTTTTATGAGGGACGGATCTGACATAAATTGGGCTTTGTTGGACCAAGCTGTAAATAGGGTTGGGTTGCCAACTTCCATGTAGGGCCTGGGGATCTCCTGGAATTACAACTGACCTCCAGATGACAGAGTTCAGCTCCCCTGGAGAAAATGGCTGCTTTGGAGGATGGGGTGCATGGAGTTAGACCTTGATGACGTCCCACCCCCTCCCCTAATTGTGCCAAGCCCAAGGCCCTGCACCCCAAATCTCCTGGTATTTCCTAACGCAGAGTTGGCAAATATGGGATCTTTAGTGCCTCCAGTACAATCAATGCAAAAGAAAACTACCCCAAAGTACAGCAATGTTAAAGACCAAACGCTTCCCCCCCCCCAAGCAGACTTAAAGAAGCAACTCCAGGAAACTCTGCTAGTGCCTCCAGTGCAATCAATGCAAAAGAAAACTATCCCAAGAACAACAGTGTTAACGACCCAGCTCCCTCCCTTTTACACATCAGACTTAAGGGAGTAAACAACTCTACCCAATCCACGTGGCTGGGAACTGGGAAGCAGCTCTGCCTTCTGCTCCCTGCACTGAGCAACAGCTCAAAAGGTTGAGGAGAGGGGAGGGGGGAAGAAGGGAGGGGGGAAGAGAGCTGTAGGTCATATTAAAGCCCAGGCGGGCGGCTTCCGGCCCATGGGCTGCATGTTTGACACCCCTGCTGTAGCAGAAGGGGTGTGGGTATATTCTGTATTATTCCGGTGACTTGTTGGTATCTCATTATTATAGAGATTTCAATAAAACCCCTTTTCTTCCACCACTCGCGTGTCCGCCAGACGTGGGGGGGGGGTGGGGGGGGGGGAAGAACCTGTTTGCTTCTTGGCAATACAAAGACCAGCTCTACAAACTGGAGGGCTGTGGCTCAGAGAAAGATCCTCTGCTTTGCATGCAAGAGGTCTGGTGTTTAGTCCCTGGCATCCTCCGTTAAAAGGACCCAGGTAGTAGGTGATGTGAAGGACCTTAGCCTGAGACTCCGGAGAACCACTGTCTGTCTGAGTAGGCAATGCTGACCCTGACGGTCTGATTCAGTGTAAGGAAGCTTCATGTGCCTACAGCTCCTGACAGCATTTAATTACTCACTGAGTGAAGGCATATTTCCTGGCACACAGAAATATTTCCTTCCTCCGATTTATCGTCACAACAACCCTGGGAAGAAGACAAGGCCGAGAGACTGTGGCATGTAGCAAGCAGAGATTTAAATGAAGGTCTTGCTTGCCCTAGTCTAATCACTGTATTATTCTGGTCCTAGACCAGCATTCTGCTTCCATCAGTGGTCAGCTAGACTGAGACTCTCAAGCAAGGGACAAGAAGACACTGTCTGTCTCCTGACTTTTGTCCTAGCATCTAATATTTGGAGGTAGACTGCTTCTTTACAGAGAGCTTTGCTTCAGTGATCATAACCATCAGATAGATGGTTGCTTTGTTTCAAGCCTTCCTTCAGGTTTTTTAAAAAGGCACCGATATTCCAGAGTTTGGTTAATCCACTTGCCAGTTCACAAGCAGATGACCAGCAGTCTTTTAACAAGCCAAACATGAAGCAAGTCTAAAGAGGGAATTTGCACTCCTGATTGGGAATCTCTGGAGGTGCACAGGCTAGAGGGCTAGTTGATAGGTGCATCTGGTGGGGGGCTCCAGTGCCCCTCCCTTTCTGGCCAGCTCCACTTAAGTTCTTTGCTTTGTTGCTTTTCCTTCCAGGGTCTGGAAGCCGACATGACGTCCGAGTGGTGGAGACCAATTACGATGAGTATGCGTTGCTGAGCGCCAAGAAGGCCAAGGAAGCAGAAACCTTCACAATGGTGACTCTGTATGGTATGGGCCTACCTTCCATACCTGCTGCTCACCACCAGCCAACAGCACTTCTCCTCAGTTTCCCAGGAGATGTGCTGTCCACCTTGGTGACAAGATACTGTGCTTCAGGGGCAGGGGAAGAGTCAGCCTAATTTTAGGACACTGTTTGGAGCAAAAGACTACGAGCCAGTGAGAAAAGGACCCCTCTCCTCAGTGCGGTTCAGAGTCTCATTCTACTTCTGCCCTCATTTCAAGCAGCTCTTAACAGAAAAAAATAGAGAAAAGTGATGGCTGGGCCCCTGCCTCTCCTCCGATACCACTTGTCGTGTGGCCAGGGGTCGTTTCGTAGAAAAAGAGCTAGGGGAACTCATTAGCATAACTCATTAGCATATGCCACTCCCCCTGACATCACCGGAAGTGTGTCATACGGCCACACCCCCTGACATCACCGGAAGTGTGTCATAAAGCCACCCCCCCACCCCCAACGGTCCCGGCCGCTGGCGCCGGCCTTGCAGCTCCACTGCCGAGCCCCATGAGGGGCCCAGCGGTGGACCTGCAAGGCCGGCGGGAGTGCAAGGAAGCCCTGCGAAGGCCCTCCCTGGCCCCAGGCAGGCAGGGGTGGGGAGAAGCAGGGAGGAAGCAACTTACCCTCCCTCTTCTCCTGCCTCCTCCTGGCTGAATGAGGGCCAGAAGCGGGGCAGCCGGAAGTAGGGGGCGGGGCTTCGTCATGTGCCCCGCCCCCCGTACCTCACCCAGGGGAACTGCGATCCCCCGCGATCCCCCCCGAAATGACCTCTGCGTGTGGCTGATGCAGTGGGAAAAGGGAGGGAGGCACTGAGTGGGCCCGGCAAGCCACAGCACAAAGCACACCGGCATCCCATCCTTTGCAGAAACCCAGGTGTCAGTTGTGTGGCTCAAAAGATAAGAGAGCTCAGTGGAGATTTCTAGGTCCTGTCAAGGCTGCCTTGAACTGTTCATTCAAGTGGGGTGAGCATCAAGTGGGTTTGGTTATAATGGCGGATGTGAGGCCTTGCAGCCACGAGTTGCCAGTCCTTGGAAACTTGAGCCAACACTAATGGATTCTGGTCATGCTGAGGAGCATCTGGCCTGACCCCTGAGCCCCACCAGACTTGCCTGTATTCTGCGTCTCTCACAGTCATTGTGTTGTTTGTAGGGAGACGTAAGGAGCTGAGTCCGGAGTTGCTGGAGAAATTCACTCGGTTTGCCTTGGAGCAGGGACTTACCCCGGAGAACATCCTCATCTTGCCCAGGACTAGTAAGAACAAGCCTGAGACCAGGGACTTGGCTGATGGAGGGAGGGAATAAGAAGCTGGCCCAGGTTCAAGCACCCAGCCAGACTTCATCCTGATCAAGAACTATCTGCTCTCTTCTTTGTATGGTTTAATCAATGTGCACAAAGACCAGGACCTGCCCCAGGGAACATACAGTTTAAAGCACTGGTCTTCAGGATTTCTTTCTTCTCTTTCTGTGTTTTTAATAAAAAGGAGAAAGAAAGAGAAGTGTGTGTGTGTGGGGGGAGGAAGAAACAGGGCATATATAGGAAAAAAGGGAGCCCCATATTTATCAGCATTAACAATTGAAGATTACTCATTTTTAGGCACATCACAATTGAAGATTACTCATCTGTAGGCACCTCACATAATATCAGAAGCAGAGTGCTTCCATGCAGAGGTTAAGGAAAAACCCCTCTTTAGTGACTTTCCCATCTTCTGAACTGCATAAGGGAGCCATGTGGATGGATGACTTTGTCTTAGCAGCAGAGGGGTTTCAGTTGGGGATTCTACACCTTTTCTGGGGAAGTGTCTTGACTTTGCAACACCTCCCCATAGTGGTGGCTTGATAAGCACTAGGCACCAGGCGAAAACCCTTTTTTTACAAATAAAAATTGCCAAGTGTTTTGCTTACCATGTACAACTTGGGCCCACCAGTATCCTACCTTGCTTTAAAATGGCTATCCCTGCTGCTTTTCACGCTGTGTTAAGTTTTGCAGCATTTCATCCCTCATCTTCTTGATCTTCTGAACTGTCTCAAGCATTTTTTGTTAGAGAGAGGCAGCTCATAAAAATTGCAAACAAACATACCACAGGGTGATGACACCCCAAATGCCTTCAGGACCCCCTTCCTGACCTGTTCTGTCTTGCTTTCTCAACAGATTTGTGCATGGAGGAATCGGTGTAGGTGAGTAGTCCTTTCCCTGGGGTCTGAAGACTTTGGGGGCTTTAAAGGAGAGGGGCTGTCGTTCAGTGCCAGAGCACCTGTTTTGCACACAGAAGGTCCCAGAGTCAATCCCCAGCAACTCCAAGTAAAAGAACCAGATAATAGCATTCATTGTGTTGGGAAAGACTTCTCCCCTGAGATCCTGGAGAGTTGCTGCCAGTCCGAGTAGACAAAACCAAACCAGTTTGGTGTAGTGATTAAGTGCGCGGACTCTAATCTGGGAGAACCGGGTTTGATTCCCGACTCATCCACTTTTACCTGGCTGGATGGCCTTGGGCAAGCCGTAGCTCTGATAAGAGCTGTTCTTGAAAAAGAGCAGTTTCTGTCAAGAGCTCTCTCAGCCCCACCTACCTCCCAGGGTGTCTGTTGTGGGGAGGGGAAGGGAAAGGAGTTTGTAAGCCGCTCTGAGACTCCTTTGGGTAGTGAAGGGCGGGGTATAAATCCAATCTCTTCTTCTTTCTTGATGGGCCAAGGGTGTGACTCAGTAAAAGGCAGCTTTGTGTGTGCACTCAACACACTTCTGTCCTAAGAAATGCTCTTTGACTATTGCTGTATTTAGGGTTACCAGCTCTGGGGTGAGAAATACCTAGAGATTCTGAGGGTGGAGCCTGGGGAGGGTGGGGCTTGGGAAGGGGGCTGGCCTCAGCAGGGCACAGAGTCCATCCTCTACAGCAGCTATTTCTTCCAGGGGAACTGATCTCTGTCACCAGGAGATCAGTTGAATTCCCAGGAGATCTTCAGCTACCACCAATGTTCCCTCTAAGCTGTGGAGTTTTGTGAGCAAAAATTCTACTTTGTGAGCCACTGGCATGAAAGTGGCGAGCTAGCAATTTGGCTACTGCATAAATTACTTTGCTCTGGAGCCATTCTTCCTGAGCGAAGACAAAAATGTGTGAGCCAGAGTCTAAAAAACGGTGCGCTAGCTCACACTAACTCAGCTTAGAGGGAACACTGGCTATCACCTGCAGGTTGGCAACCCCTATGTATGATGTATCTGTACTGCAGATATGGCAGGATGACGTTTTTGCTCCTCTCTGTCGCTTGTCTCATCGCATGGAGAGAGATGATTTTGAGTCAGCCCCCAAACCGAGAGGCAGTGGATTCAAGACAGACAAAAGGTTATCCAGGATTTCATTAACAGATGGGTTTTATTTCCACAAGAAGTTCTGCTAGCTAAAGAGATGAAGTCATCAGACAAATGCATGGAGATGAGGTCTATCTACAAGGATTAGCCATGTTTAGAACTCCTGTGTTCAGAGGCAGTCTACCCTGAATGCTGGTACCAAACTATGGGGGAAGACTGCCTTTATCATGCCTACCTTGGTGAGCATTTGCAGGACAGCTGATTATCATGTTGTCTTGAAAAACAGCCCATCTAATTGGATTTGTAACACTAAGGCTGTGATCACACGTGCCTTTAGATCTGACATAGGTGTGAATGCCTGACAGATCTAAAGGGAGTGATCAGACAGCAACATCTGGGAAGCATCCTGCAGTCATTGGCAACCTGTGCCGCTCTGCCGCAGAAGCGGAATTAAAAGACACCAGGAAAAGTCCAGCTCTAGTGGGTTCCGACGGGCCACGGATGGACTTTCCCATCTGATCGCGCAAGCACGCTCTCATGCTGTCGGGATGGTCTGATCATGCCATCTTGGCGCCATCCCCCCTTCCTTCGCAGTATGCGCATCATTGGGGGCGCCATAGGGGGTGCCATAGGGGACCCTCAGTGCGGGGGTGCGATTCCTCGCATATGCGCATGAGAAACAAACGGCCAAAAAACAACAACAACTGACTCAGCCGCAGTTGCATCTGATCACACAGTGACAGGCTGCGCCCACAGCTACAAAAGGAGGTTTGATCTCTCAACTGTGTGTCAGATTCCTCCGGAGGAAATAGCATTTGCTTCCCCTCCACTTCAACTGGCACGTGTGACCGCAACCTAAGGCAAGAGCTGGTTTTAAAGGCTCATCTAGCCCAGAGTTCCTTTGTCAACAGCAGCTGGCCGGCCAGATGCCTCTGTGAACCTCATAAACAAGACAGTGTGGTGACTTCTCCAGTTGTGAGTTCACAATTTTTGCAGGTTGGGAGGGGTACACTGCCTCTGAAGGGTTCATTTAGTTATCCCAGCTAGCAGCCTTTGACAAACCTCTTCTCTGGGAAACTGTCTAATCCTTTTAAAAAGAGCTATCTAAAGCCATCCCTCCTCTCTCATGGTAATAAATCCGGTGATAATTCTACATTATGAATCTCCTCTCCTGCTGAGACAAGAAGGCTGAATCACTTGGACAACTCTGGCCTTTACTTGTGTGCTTGCTAATTCTAGCAGTTGGAGGTGGTTGGGAATTATATCCAGAACAAAAAAAACCTTTTTCTTTTTGGTCTTTTCTTCAGATCGACAAGCCAAGTTTCGTCTCAAGGGAGGAAGCTCTTTCTTGATTCTACAGTCCTGGACTTCTTCCATGATTTAAAGCAGCAGCTAATGCTGCTGGCCCTGACACCTCCCCCTACCCATCCTAAGCTCCTTGCGTGTAATCTCCTCCCTTGATTAAAAAGTGTACCACAAGCCCGTGGTGTTGTTGTCTCTGTTACATCCTTGGAATCCCTGAGATCCCAGCCATTTTATCATGATCCCTGATGCCTGTTGATACAATTATTAACAATTGGGGGGGGGACCTTGGGCCAGTCGCACACTCCCAACCTAACCTACCTCACAGGGTTGTTGTGGTGAGAAAATGGAGGGAAGGAGGCTGACGTAAGCTGCTTTGGATCCCCATTGAGGAGAAAGGGGGTATAGCTGAAGGAAGGAAGTAAATGAAGAAGAAGAGGGATGCAGGTTTTGCCAAAAAGTACTGGTTCTGTCTAATGAATTTGTTGCCTTTTGTCCTCATGGGAGGAGCTTGCTTCTTTACAAGCAATGTGACAGACATTTAAGACCTTTGTCTCTCTGTCATGTTGCATACTTAAAGTAATGCTGGCCACTGATCTCCAGAAGCCTTGACTTAAGCAGCTATCCCTGCAATAACAGTCCTTTGCAGGCACACCTGACTTCCAGAGTGTGCAGCAGGCTTCAGCTAGGGCTGCCAAGTGGGGGAGGGTGGCGGGTAAACCCCCGCTTCGGAGGCCCAATTTCCGCTGCTGTGGAATCGGGCACCGGGGGGAACTCCGCCCCAGCGTGCGCATCACCCGGAAGTGACGCAGGCATGCTGGGGGCGGGGGCACAGCCATACAAGGGAAAACCCTACGGTTTTCCCTTGTGTGGCCGTGGCCACGCCCCCAGGGTGCCCAGCGTGCCTGCGTCACTTCCGGGTGACGCGTGCACACACATACCCAACACCGGCCGGGAGCCCCCCGCTCCCGGCAAAGAATCACTTGGCAACCCTACCTTCAGCCCTGGCTTTGAACCACTTCACATCACATTTTAAAATGGAGCACTGCTTGTGCCTCCTCCCTGGAAAATGTTTTGAGAACTGCTGATCTTCAGGTTGGTATCCCAGGAATGAAAAAGGCTAGTTCCAAGGCTAGTGAGCCATGGGATTAACCCTCCAAAACAGCCTTTTCCTCCAGCCTTTTTCCCTAGAGAATGTTAAAGAAAATGTTCCATGTATTCTGTGTGCAGAGCAAAATCTGTGGTCTCCTACTCATGGTGTCTACCAGCTTTATGCTGACCCCAGTCAGTTTTTTTAAGAGCCACCCCAGGATCTGGGAGGTGGAGGTCAAGAGGCCTATTATGCCTTTTCATAGTTGTATGAGACAGGCGTCCTTTCTTGCCCTCGACCTACAGCATTTAGTTATTGAGCTGCTATTTAAAAGCACAGGAACTGTTCTCAGGAAAGCTGGTTGGCTCAAGGAAAAGAAGGTTAAGTGCCTTGACTATTAGTCCTCTCTTGAGATGGCTTGGCTAACAAAGGGGGAAGGCCTTGAAGAGGGATTTAGAGGCTCAAAGATGGATTTAGATAAAAGCAGGATCGTCTTGCAATCTCCTGATAGAGGCAGTCCCACCCACTGGATCGAAGATAGCAGCTCCTGGTGTGGCCTGGCTATTTCTAATGTTGTGTTGCCCCATCTGTGTGCAAGGACACTTTGTACCGTTCTTCTGGGCCCTCTTTGCTGCTTCAACATAGAGAAGGGTCATTTGTACCAATGTTCCAATGCTCATCCACATGTCTTGTCTGGCCAGGGCCAGGCTAACTTGACAAGCAATACAGGTGGCTGCAGGGCTGGTGCTACCATTAGGCCAACTAGGCGACCGCCTAGAGTGCAGACCTCAGAGGAGTGCAGAACTGACAATCAGCATTAGGGTGTGAAATCTGTCACATGTCTATCAGGTGTAAATTTTCTAGTAAACAAGGAGGAAGTTGAGGTGAACAGTGGGAATCCTGCCATAAATCTTCCAAGGGTGAATTCTCTATGCAATTGGCTAGAACAGAATTAGCAGTTAGCAGGAGAGGGGGGAGTGAAATCATGTTGGAGTATGAGTGAGTGAAATTAAGGAATGAAGGGACAAGAAAGGTGTTGCAGCAGGCTGAGAAGTAAAGAAAAATACAAAGAGAAGGACAGTGTTTTACAATACTCCTGTAGAACTCTTATTGGTGGAGAAATTATTTTTGACAGAACAGGAGACACATAATGAGGAATTTAGGTCCAGAGGTAAGTGAGTACAAATCTTCTTTGGCTAATATATGCTAACCCACAGGGGTTTTACTCAGAAAGAGGATGGTTGTGGTGTTTCGTGTTTGCTCTGAAGACTGAAAGTTGCTGGGGAAAGATCCCACCTGTGGGCACCTCAGGGATCATGCCACTGTTGCTTGAGCCTGTGTTTGTTCACTTAGAAAAGAATCCTACTCACAGCCTGATCCTATGCACTTTATTTATTTCATTTACTTTGTATATGGTCTACCTTTTTCACTGAGACTCAAAATGGGTTACATAGTGTAAATCAATGCAATAATTCACATGAGGCATCTAATAAGCAATGCAATAAGACTAGGATTACAGCAATTTGAAACAGAACAAAAATAATTACACTTGGCATGTCAGACAATGCAGAAAATGATATGACAAAGGTAGAAAGCAACCTATCCCTAACCCCCAAGGCAAACCAAGTTCAACCCTGGGTACATGCAAGAACAGAGATTCAGCATGTGCACATTTCTTCATATACGTTGAAACAGATTTCCTCAAATATTACATGCAGGTAGGGGGAGTTAGTTGTCAGGAAGAGATGATTAGAGTCAAGATGCATAAGTAACTGAACAATAAACACAGCAAGATTGGAATAACAATATGGTAGGACATGTAAATAGCAGTTCTCTACATAGGACAAACCAGTCTAACCCTACGTCAAAGGATAAATGGACACGAATCTGACATCAAGAATCACAAAACGGAGAAAACTGTAGGAGAACTACTGCTGCAAAAGAGACTACTTGGTTTGGCAACTATATCAAATGACAACACCGAAGCATCAGCACTTCACCTGAAGGAATTGGTGACAAAATTCGCAAAGGAAAAGGCAGGCAAAATGAGATTTTGATGTGCCTGAAATGGAAACATTCAAGAGACTTAAATTTTAATTTCACAATTCAGAGGATTATTCAAAATGATTTGTGTGCCATAAGTGTTTTCTGTTTGAGAAAGAAAATCAAAGATTGTTGAATTACTAATTCTCGCATTTTTTTTTTTAAATTAGCAATTTCAAGTTTTGTGCTTTTCATATTTCCTACAATTCATCTGTTTTTGAAAATTGGTTAGTGGGGGTGGGTGGGTGGGGCCTAGGGCACAAAAAAGCCTGGCACCGGCCCTGGGTGGCTGTGTGGGGCTCCAGACCAGTTGGGGAACCCCTCGACATGGAACACAGCTGATAGGGTTGTCAAGTCCAGCTGAGGAAATTCCTGGAGATTTGTGGGGTGTGTGTGCCTGTGGAGGGCAGCTTTTGGGCAGAGGAGTGAGCTCAGCAGGGATGTGATGCCATCGTCTACTCTCCAAAGCTGGTCTGGAGATCAGTTTTAATTTCCAGGAGATCTTCAGGTCCTACCTGGAGACTGGCAACCCTGATTACCCCAGTCCTTTGGTACTACAGAATCTGAGATGGGCCTGAAATGTGAATGTATCTGTATCTCCCAATTTTTCAGACTTCAGCCCTAACTGGGAAAATCTTCAAGGAAGCAACACCCTATCCCCAAGGTGTAAAATGCTACAGGCGGTGGTGGTGGTGGTGGTGGTGGGGGATAATTCTTAAGGCGGGGGAAACTGCTTAAAGCAGCCTTGCGTCCAACCCACCAATTTGTATCACCTAGCAATTATCAGTTAATATACTGTTACCTGACACTGCTGGTCCAGACTGCAGATCCGCTCTTGTCCAAAGTATTTCATAAGTGATGGGGCAGAACAGAGGGGGGGGGGATTGTGGGCTGTCCTGCCCATTGAGGTATCAGAGCTGAGAGATATAAATTTGGGTGCCTCTAAGGTGCTGGAGTCATCCTTTGTCCAGCTGGTTAGTTGACGAGCAAGGAACGAAAAACACAAGAATGAGGATCGTGCTGCCGAGCCTTGTGATGGTCCTACACTGGGCAGTCTGTGCTCAGGCTGATGTTGTTGTGCAACCAGATTTTGACCTCCAGAAGGTACTGAGTGGGGATACCACTTGGGGGATGGGGAAAATTCCGCTTTCTGAAAGCTGGAAATCTCTTTGGTTATGGAGATGGGTAAAGGTGTGTACTACACTGTCTCTTGGGACAGATTCACAAGTTGCAAAGTCCACGCAGACACGTGGCTGTCATGAGGACTTAGGATCAGATGTGTGCTGGTGTTCCTGTTCCTAAGTACTGGAGAACACATTTTGGGTTGGCCCCATGAACACCTCCCAGAGCACATCTGTCCAAAGTCCATACGGGGGGGGGGAGCAAAAGCTCTTAAGATAGCAGCATTGTCTAGGGTCCCATCAGAACCCTTGTGGCAAACCTAATAACCTATCTAAGACAGCATATCTTTCAAACCTGATAGAACATATATTTATTGTACACAGTGATATATATTTTTGTATGTCTTCCTAACACTGTGACCCTCAGTTTTTGTATTTACCACCTAGGGTTTGGCAAACCTAACCATGAGTGTCCAAAGCATTTCAGACTGGCTTTATTACCTTCCTATTGCAGACCGGGCACTGACCTGGATAGCCTAGGCTAGCCCGATCTTGTCAGATCTCAGAAACTAAGCAGGGTTGGCCCTGGCAGTGGCAAACTCCCTCTGAAACATCTCTTGCCTGGCTCGCCACCCAGTGGTGCATAACACTAAAGAGCTAGAACTTCTGGCTAATTGACAATTTTAGGATCTTCAGGCTACTCTACACAATGCCATACAATAACATTAATGATTATTAGTATTTGGATAGGGGACCTCCAAGGAATACCAGGGTCGTGATGTGGAGGTAGGCAATGGCCAACCACCTCTGAACGTCTCTTGCCTTGAAAACCCAATGGGCTTGCCATAAGTCAACTGTGAATTTACAGTACTTTCCACCAGCACATGAATAGGGCTTTGTATGTTACGTTCAAGGCATGAGCA